TTTCTATTTCTTGGTATTTTTTTTCGCATTAAAAAAGTTATTTTTGTGTTTTTTGTTGTTGTTGTCTTTATATTTATTTTTTGAAATACTCCTTTTAAATGTCTGATAAAATTAGATGCAAATATTGTAGATATGTGCTGAAAATTCCACACTGTACCACTGGTACTGTTTCTGGAATAAAGCAAATTATTATTATTATGAATTGGGAATTGATTATTGCTCACTGTACACGAATTATTATGAGAAAAAAGGTGACAAAATATCTTCCTGAATAGAAGAAAAATCAAGCAGTAGGAACTAGCCAGACATGTATAGAATTCAAGTAGCTACATACTTATACGCTATCATATTGTTATTATTATTATTCCGAGTGGAGCATAGGGCTTCAAGTTTAGGTAGCGGTGGTGTTCATTTTTAAGGGGGGGGGGTTTCTAACCTCACGCCAAACCTCCCCTCTTTACCAGCTATACTGCCGGTTTTGTGAGTAGTCTAGGAGTGCGTCAGCAGGCGAATCGAACCCTTTGTACCATACGGAATGTTGGCAAACATTCTACCACTGAAACCACAGACGCGCTAAGCATTTGGGGGAAGTTTTTCGTCTGTGCATCCTAATGAAAATTAAATTACTTTGGAATAATGTAAAATCAGTGAAGTTCTGTCTACAACATGATAAAAGTATATGAATGAATCAAAAACATCTACAACTCTCATTGTGCCAACATAATATGATGTAATCTTAATAAAGTCATCTCTTATTCTTTTAGTGCATATATATATAATTACATAATAATGTAATGAACTTAACTCAACTAGGCGAAAATTGTGTTCTTATTTTAAGTGTACTAGCGTACACTCTAAATCAATTAATTTGTTCGGTGAATATAAATACATACATAATTCAAGAATAACAGTGACAATTAAAGGATATTGCGTAATAGGCATAGAACATGTACTGGAAATTTTAATTTCCCTTATCTCTGTAATCGAATTCTGAGTACATACATTGATTAAGTTATATTTACATAATTTGTTGTTGTTTTTTTATATTAGGTCAAAGAGTTAATTAAAGTGATTCAATATAAATTCAATAAATACGCATTTAATCTGTAGATTCTAGTTACACTTTAGTGAGCAGACTGGGAGGATGGGTGCACACACACACACACACAAAGGATGGAGGACAGAGAAGCCAGTCGGCGGAAGTAAACCATAATAAACACATGTCACTGACCTGATATCTTTAAACAGTGTGACCAACAAAAGTAAATAAGAGTAGATAGACACAGTGGTGAAATGTTCACTAACCACACACATGGTCCGGAGTTCGACTCCCAGCCGATATACTCTTAAACCCTGCTTTAGTCGGCAGTAAGCCTAGTTAGTAAAGACAGAAGCCGAAGCTTAAAGTCCCATTTTCCAGTCGAAACACATGGAATGCAAAAATACATATTAGCAGTGTGAAGACTACTGTTTTTGTAAATAGTATATGTCAACTCCTAGGAATTGAGTAGTGTAATATTGTCTCTGTTTAGTAATCCCAGTCAGTGTTCTTTATTTAACTGCACAAAATAAACAGGGAGCATCTAAACCGGTCAAGAGGTCAAGAATATCTCGCTGATATGGAAGTTGGAAACTCATCCATGACAGTGACTGACGGTAGTACTACGTCACCAAATGACAGAAGTTAGAATCTACAAGTCACTGAATTCTGCCGCGGTGGCTGGATCTTCAATAAGCTGGTAATGTAACCTGAGGCTCACGGGTTGAGTCCCTGGTGGTGTCGAGAGTGTATACTACTGGAGAGTCCCAAGGTGGGACAAAATTAGCTGTCTACTGATTCCCGGTTAAAATGATTTCGATTCGAGATGAAATCCAACACTGAAAATAACGAAAATTGATTCACTTGTGAAATAAGAATATTCGCTGGCAAAGTGAGATTCATTAATGCAGCAGATTTCATAAATCAAGAGCCTAACCGTTTCATCACATGCACATACATACACACATACACACACACACAAAACTTTCCTTTCATAACTTGTTTATTTATAAAAATAGAAGTGTCATTAATTTAAACTGCGTTTTTTTTGCTTTCTTGAAAAATGTCTTCTTAATCTGCACGTCCGACAACTCCTCTAAAACAGGATAAAAGCGAACAGAAATAAAAAAAGAAATAGGGAAAATTCGAAATCTAAAATTCCTAAGGTCTACACAACAATACCACCTCTCACCTTAGTCTTCTAATCTTTCAGCAGATAAAATGTATAAATTTTAAATCTAAATTTTAGTGTGTCACCTACACACTCCTGCTGTATCTGCGTGTACGCACGCGCATACAAACACTCTGTCAGCATTTAAGCATGTGTATGTATGTACGTATGTATGTGTATCTGTATTTGCCTGCGTGATAGTAGCGCATTCATAAATTCTCAACAGATTTCGACAGGTGGATGATGGTGAAAATAGGGTGGCTGAATTGATAAACAGAGAAATATATATTTGTGGATTGGTATCTGTAATACTAACAGTAAATAGTAGTCCAAGTGGCTGCAGTAGCAATGGGGGTGGTTTTGTGTGGCACACGGACTAAGAGATGAAACTGAAACCTGGAATAATGCCCATATACCATGCATGCATTTCCAATTACACCGGATTTACTCCAACAACAACAACAACAAAACAACTCAGAACAGTGATGCACTGAAGAGAAAAATAGGTGGATAGACATAAAAATGGATACATAGTAGGTAGTGTCAGTGCATGCAGAAAGCGCCAACAAAAACCTATTGATATGACAAAATTTCGATAACCATTCTCTCTCTCTCTCTTCTGCCTAATTCCTTAAGATTTTTAGTCACTCCTATTAGCTATATTGACAATTGTGGTGGTGGTGTTGTGTGATGAAAGTGAACACTTATGTGGGATATACTGCCACTGTCTTTTTTTATCTTTTTGAAGTTTAAAGAAGCAGGATACGGTGATTACTCAAGGAGAGAGAGAGAGAGAGAAAGACATTATGCAGAAAGTCTCTCAATTTAGGTAACACTAGTGTTACAATTTCAATATGTGGAGAGGGGTTTCTCTATCTCATACCATTTGCGTTTCGGTTGAAAGATATATCGCTCAAGTAAACACGCAACAAGTTCTGCTTTAATGGTTACTCTAGTAAAATTTTGGTTAGTTGATTGTGGCATTTTAATGGATGAGATCAATATGTGTTGGATTTTATGCATGGATATGCGTTGCCTATCCATGCTTATCCATGTTCACCTGTGTGTATGTGTGTGTTATGTGTACTTAAGGCAAGCCTTGAGCAAATAAAGTTAAGATTATGATGGTGATGATGATGATAATGATAATGATTATAAAGAAGAAATCTGATAAGCTTTGCTATTTTGACTAGGCAATAAATTTTCTGTGCATCTGGTAGGGAGGAGAGAAAAAAGAAGTAGGGAGAGAAAGATGATGACAGCAGTTGCTCATCTTTCTGCTCCATGAATAGTACAGACTAGGGATGAGTATGACCTTATGCACTCAGGTGAACAGAGGAAACTCTGTGAAAAGCAGTCCTTCCGTTATTTGGATTTATGTCCTTTGGTATATATATATATATATATTCACTGAAATTTCCTAATTTACAGTCGAATGATATGACTTATAGGGTCAGACAAGTGTGGAGTGTTGATTGATGCATGTGGATAATACTTTAAAAAACAAATATTCATTTCAGTGGGAAGCTATATATATATATATATATATATATATATGTACAAAATCAGGAGTGTCAGGACGCACTTTCAGTGTGTTTTTACCCTCCAAATACTTTCTGTTACCAGTGCAAATACCCTGTGAAATGTTTAAAAGCAATTACGCAGTGATGCCAGTAAGCAGAGGTAGGTTGATTCCTTCAGCGATTTTGTTAACAGGCTAAGCTGGAATCTTTGGAAATAATGCATCATTGAGTTACTTACAGCTTTGTGAAGACGTTTAAAAGTTACACGTAAAATTAAACAGTAATCTAAGCATGATCTTAAGAAATCAGGTGTGTATGCGAATTTCTCCTTCTGTAGGGTTTATCAGATAAACTTATTCGTTAAGAAATTACATTCGGTTTCACTACGTAAACTGGGATTCAGACTTTCTTCATTGTATGTGAATAAACCTAACCTATCACCGAAGAGATGAGTTTATTCCAAATCTATGCAATGACTGACAAGCCTAGTTGTATAGCATTGATGAAACTATATGATTCTATTGAGAGAAAAAAACATACTGTCAGGATACAAAAATGCAATACAGAAACTGAAAATTGCTTTTATGTAGAAGTGTAGTCACTTTGCCTACAAATAAGTAACTTAAAAACACTTTTACATTAGAAGAGGTGAGAAAGCTCCATAAAACAAACAGTAAAGGAAATAAATAGTCTTAGCACGAAACACGGGACACAATAGTTTAAGCACCGTGTATTGGAGTGTGATTGTCATGCGAGAAGTACTAAGATCGTTGCTCAGGCAGTCCACTTACGTCGCTGCTGGAATAGTAGGATGCTCCCCTACAACAGAAGGGGGATTGAATTTGATTTCCTTCCCCCCTGATGCACTCCTAAACTGTATCTTGGTTACCAGCCGGTAGTAAGACCGGAAATGGGGAAAGGTTAGGCTACTGAGACTAGCCACCCAATCGGGTTAAAAAACACAACAGTACCAATGCAACTGAGACTTCAAAGCTTGAAGTCACTTTATGTTCCACTAGGAATACAAAGGGATGCTAAAAAACTCTATTGGAGAAAAATATGTGAAAACAAAATGGGTCAGCTCTTATATAGCTTTAGGAATGAAAGTAAACATGACAATTGCTTGTACTACATAATATTATGTTACTACAAAAATATTTTTACTGAGACAATATGTTTAGAGATTTACTCACATGACATCCAAGTAGAGTTTTCGATGGCCTAGTATCATTGTGTCGAGTAGAAACTACACTGTGACACGTGGACAATGGTAATTAAAGACAGGCATAGGAATGAGTACTTCTTATACACGTCCAGGGATGACTAAATAATATTGACATAGATTCCAACAGTTCACATCAACGACTCAAGGAACAAGATAACAGGAAAGAAAACAAATAAACAGAGTCATAAGACAAGTCATCAGTATCGTCGCATGTCAGTCAACAGAATTGTTAAAATTATCAGGTCATAGCAGTTGACTGACTGAATCTGTTGTCTTTCTCACTGATTTTTAAGATGTGATGTATTTTATCTGTCTACATTTTGGTTCAGATTTGTTTTATCCCCGTAGATTTCACCATAAACCTCAACTTTACATCTGACGTCCTCTATGAGTCAATGAGTCAGTTTTTAATTATTTTAAATGTGTTAGATTTACTATACATTCTAAGCAAATACTTTGCTCATTTTGGTCTGCGAAATACTTTAGATTAGGTGTTTATCGATTTTTATCAGCTTTCATATATATAATTTTCCATCAGAATGGAGTTTTGTCATCACTCAGGCATTTTTAAAAATATGATTACGTCCCCTGAACCGAGTGGTAGCTTCCATTGACTATCCAGACTACAACTTCAGCGCTTACCTCAATGCGGATTGACTACTACTACTACTACTACTACTACTACTACTACTACTACTACTACTACTACTACTACTACTACTACTACTACTACTACTACTACTACTACTACTACTACTACTACTACTACTACTACTACTACTACTACTACTACTACTACTACTACTACTACTACTACTACTACTACTACTACTACTACTACTACTACTACTACTACTGCTACTACTACTACTACTACTACTACTACTACTACTACTACTACTGCTACTACTACTACTACTACTGCTACTACTACTACTACTACTACTACTGGGAGCAATAACAATTCTATTGTCATGACAACGAAGGTGTATAGATGACTACGGTAACACTGGCATTTATCACATACTACAGAAAGATATGACTAACTACATAAAACATATACCGTGAAAAAATAATACTGAATTAATCTTAGAAGACAAAAGAAAAGATAAAATTGCCGTTTGAGTGTCGCATAAACATCTGTTCCCAATTGTTAGCATACGCCTGTCTATTCACCTCCTTGTTAAACTGATTAGGATGTTTAAATTTAATTAGACGACATAGGCATAAAGTCCAGCTAAGAGGAAAGTTGTCATTATTGTTATTATTATTATTATGAAATAAGAAAACCATATTGTTATAAAGCGTACGAATACTGAAACATTGAAATCAAAAAGCCTTTATTCTATTTATTTGAATTTATTGCTTACATTCAGAGAGAATAAAAAGATATGACAGCAGATTTTTCTGACTGAATTCAGTGATTCTATTTTTTTTGAAGTTTAATTATTGTCAGTTAGCGTTGTGCCCGTTTTTCCTGGTCCATCTGTCACTAAGCATTGTTGGTTATGAAGCACCGAAATATACACCTAGCTAACTGCTTTGAATAACACTCGAACTATGCTTCATGTCCCTGTTGTTAGTAAAAATTATACCCGTCGCCTATTTAAAGAGTTTATATTAATGGTAGCCTTTCTTTTAAAAGTCTGATACAATTTGAATGTATAAAAGACACTAAAACTGCTTAACTGTAAAAAGACATGGCCTTTTGATGACTGAACCTTAAGTAAATGGTCGTTCCTAGAGAGTGAACACCAAGTTTTGGTAAATGGTTAAACGTAGGAGAACTACTTAGTGCATTTCACAGGGGAAAAGTCTATAGTGAGGCATTATGGAATCCTGTTAATTAAAGCAAGTCAGCAGTTTCATAGTCATAAAGTCAAGATTAGGAGATAACTTCATTAACAGGCTTCAGAGTGTTTGGCTCTTTACTAGGGAAACTCGTCAGAACCTAGTACACTTTTGAATCGCATAAAATACTTTCAAATATCCTGTCTTTTTGCAATTGATGCTTTTCCTAATCCAATAACTCGTATTGTCTTAATGAGGAGTGCAGATATATTATGATTGTTCACCACGTAAGGCAGTGGCGCAGCCTAAGAATACTTGCCGACCAGCCAGGTGGTTCGGGGTTCGATCCCCGGTCGACGCACTCCCAAACCTCGCTAAGTCGATAATAAGACTGGTAAAGACGGAAGGTTTCGCATGAAGCTAGCAACCCCATCCATTAAAAATAAACACCACTGCTACTGAAACTTCAAGCCTCTAGCTTGAAGGCGCCCTATGTTCCACTGGGAACGTAAAGGAATAAAAAAACACCACATAAGACTACCTAATAAATCCTAAATGGCTTGAATAGTTAGTTCTTCCATAATAATATAAATTTTTTTCACAGGGCTGATGGATTTCGTTTTAAGTCATCGAAACAACCTTCTGGTACTGATACCATTCTTATTAGACCAGAGAGATCTGAAGACAGGTAGTCCATGTGTTCTAGTTACTCACACCGTTAAGTATTTATTATACATCAACGAACTAGTTTACTTTGATTATTTTAAGAAAAAATTATAGAATGAAATAACTTTAGGTATTTAGGTATTTATTTATTTATTCAGTTATTACAGTTACAATTCAATTCCAGTAATTGTACCACTAGTCTGTATACGTACGCTTTATATATATATATACAGTAAATGAGAAGCCTCTTGACATGTTTGTATATACATATACGTTAATTAGACGTGTTGGCGACCTTTGCCTTTTTCATAGTTTGTTTAACAATCATTTCACAGTACGTATATATTATGATAAACCGGAAATACTATTGCATAAGGTGATATTTTAATAGATCGTGTGAATACCTATGCACAGCATATATATCTTACCTGATTGATAACAAGGTCTGTGAATTGATTAAGAGTCAGTGTGAATAAATCGGTCTGTCCAACAAGTTGACTGATGTTCATATATATATTTAGTAACAAACTTTTTGTTTGTTTGAAAGATTGAACAGTATTATAAAAAGGTTATTTCAAATGACCTTAGGTGAATTTGAATTCAATGAAGAACAGTACAAAATACCTAAGAACAATGTTTTCAAGGGAACGGGAACAAGTAAAATGATAACAGTAGAATGTATCTGATTTATAAACTCGTTGAAAAGAGTCTCATCAACTGAATACTGTGTGTTCAATGTTATTATAATGGGAATTATTAAGCTAGAAATTTATTTACCAGGTCTTAAAAGCTGTCGGCAGTTTGTGTTATCAAAGTCAACTGATTCTAAAGCTGTGCGTCGGTGGCACAGTGGTTAGGACTCTCGGGGACCATGCACATGGTCTGAGGTTCGATCCCCCGCCGACGCACACCTGATATCTATAGTCGGCCTGCTAAATTTGGGCTACCGATATCACATGCTGAAAATTTCATACTTGTACTAAAATACTGTGTGGAATCAAGCTATAATAAAATAAAATAAAAAAATATAGGAATCCTTTCATGGGAATTTTAAAGCTTATAGGACTTCCATGCAATAATACACCTTTGATATTGTAAAAAAATATACGACAAAGATTGTGACTGATTAGCTCAGCGGTTACGGTACTTGCACTAGATTCACTCGAATAGATTTGAAAATCCTAAGTTGTGCACAAGTATTGCAGGCTGTTTCAGTCCGATAAAACACAATTATACTATATGCTTACATCTGCTATTTAAAAAGATTTTCATAATGAGGAGATTAAAATGACTGAGATTTCAAGTCATTAACCGCAAAGACGCTTGGGTGGCTAATTGGTAGGGCTGTTCTCGGCTGACATACACTTCTTAACCTCGTTTACTTTGCCGGCGGCTAGTCACTCCGGGGAAAAATGGAATGTTGGACGTTAGACTAACTATCTCACTGGTGCTCTACTGAAACAACATAGCTTACAGCCGTATGTTCTACTCCAAAACGCAAGGAATGAATAAATAATAACACAGACAGAATTAGTCGAAATAAGTCTAAAATTATTGTAACAAAAGAAAAAGACATCAACGGAGTGGTGGCAAATTCACCAAGGGTAATAAGATATTCATAATATGGAGGAAGATTGGGCAGGAGGAGGAGGACAAACTTATGGTAATCATCGACATTGAACAGACGAACGTTTGCCGACCAATGACAACCAGCTAAGCGGAAACCAGAACATTTAAATTGATTGTTGTTAGAATTTGTTTTGGAGGGCAATCCAACTAAATGAAACTATCCGTTTAATAATTTTTAACAACAGCATAGTATAACTGAAGAAATTATTCTTTATCATTACTAAAAGTGCAGACAGTTAATTTATGGTCGACTTTTTCCTAACAGTGAGGTGCATATACATAAGTCTACTTGGTCGATAGAATACCTTTGTCTTCATAGTCATGAAATTTCCACTAAACAAGAAATATATTTACAGTAGCGTCTGTAATTCATACAGTTATACTGTACAGAATAACTAAGTTTCAAAGAAATAGACTGATAAGGGAATTTCGAATAAACTTTGAAATCCCCTACCATTGATTGTTAAGAACCAAGTGATAAGTGTGTGTTAGAATACTGGCTCAGTACACTTTTGTTCCATTTACATTTTGACAGTAGAGTTGATGAAAGATGGATAATTCTAGTAGCTGAATGATCCGATTTTCTCTGGTCGAAACAGTCTCCGATAATATTAAATAAGTTCTAAGTTCTTGTGAGGACATGTACATTGAATTGAGCGCAAATGTGTCCAGTTAATGACACAGCCTAAAGGACAGTAGTGCGTCGGTGGCACAGCAGTAGAATACTCGCCAACCACCCAGGTGGTTCGGGGTTCGATGCCCGGTCGACGCACTCCCAAACCTCGCTAAGTCAGTAATAAGATTGGTAAAAACGGAAGGTTGGGCATGAGGCTAACAACCAAATCGCGCAAAAATAAACACTACTGCTACTGAAACTCCAAGTCTCTAGCTTGAAGTCCTATGTTCCACTGGGAACGCAAAGGAATTTTATTTATTTATTTTGGTTACAGCTTGACTAACTAACTAAAGGACAGTAAGCTATCAGATACCACTACAAAAAACATTTAAATTAACCAGTAAATGGAGGTTTAGTTATTACAATCACCCTCATAATACATAACTTCTAACCGATACCTTGTTTCGAATTTCCCAAACTTATTATAAAATCCGAATGACTCATAAAGTTAACCAAGTCAGGCATCGGAATAGATGATCATTCGGAATTTCAAATGACAATTTCACAGTTATTAAAAACACAAAAAAGCCAACCAGTTCACTGAAAATGCAGTCTTTACGCTGAATAACTGTCTTTTCTTTTCCCGTCCCATTTTATGTGAGTCAGTCAGTCAGTGCTTAAGTAACTCAGAGTAGATTGTAGGGTGGAATAAAATAACCGCCTTCAACGGCAAAATGACTGTTCATGTTATTCTGACGATGACACGCATCTTTAAAAGTCACTATGATCCTACAAAGAAGCAAAACTGAATTCAATAAATAGTTATCCCTACAAAACCAATACTTGAAAATTAATCTGATGCTCACTAGTGACTGGCCCTATTCAGGCAGTTAACCTGGGGTTCTAGTGGGAAGCTGTGACCAGTAGGGTACAGCAGGTTGAAGATGAGGCAGTAACTCATCGAAGAAGACATTACGAAATGGTCGCGCTATGTCGTGAATTGGCAGAAGTTAGAATTCAAGGACCATTGGATCGGGTCCCAGTGGCTCAGTGGTCTACGAGCTCGCCTTGTAACCAGAAGGTCCTGGGTTCGAATCCCGGTGGGCGCGTACTGATGAAGAGTCCCAAACTAGGATGAAACGGCTGTCCAGTACTCCCAGGTTTTCCAGTGGTTCTCTAACTGATGTCAGCTCATGATGAAATCCTCCATGCAATCAAACAAAATCCCTACAAAATCAATACTTGAAAATAGTTATCAGTCAACTTTCTACATACATCTGTGTTAATTTACTCACT